ACTGTAGTAAGTATATGTAATATGTGTAACAGTGACACTGTCAAATAAAGCGTTCTTTATTTTTGTTAACTAAAGTTAAAGATTTATAAAAAAAATACTGTAACAAATGTATTGCTCACTGTTAGTTAATGTTAGTTAATACATTAACTATTTTTGGCTAATGGAACCTTATTGTAAAATGTTACTAAAACTTTATATAAATAAATTTTTTGCAGATTCTTACTGGGCTTTTATACATTTTATAATTGTTTAAAATTATAATTTAAAAACAAAAACATATTTAAATACCTATAACAAGGGCATTTTGTGTCCTTGTATTGTGTATTGGCATTTTTAAGTATTTAATTTTTACTTTTTTTTTGTTGTTGTAATGTCTGTAATGATATTTGAGTTTAAAATGACTGTTTAAATCAAGCTTGGTAAAGTTACATTTAAAGTTTACATTTACAGAGAAAGGACCTGTTATCACTTGCACAAAATTGCTATTAGAAGATTGTGACTTTGGAAATTTGGCACAGTGAGTTTATGTACATGCATCTCAGACTGAAATTCTTCACTTGTTTACGTGCAGCTGCGCAGCTTCAAGTAAAAACTTGCGTGATTTCGACAGGTGTGTCTTTAGTTAATGTTCAGATAAGAGCATATTAAATCATTCTTAGCTTTGGATGTGCTTTTCTGTTACACTGATTTGCCAAAATCAGAAATACTGTCTACTGAACGAGCTTGTTGTGTCTGACTACACACATTTAAAGTCATATTTATGCTGAAATCTCCCCTGATCCAGAACATAATTGAGCATTTCTCCTCATTTCAGTAGACATGAATACAGAGAATAGCATTTGTACATAGCGGGCCTGTGACATTACCGCCAATAAGGTCTTGTTAAAGTTAAATTGGCTGAATGTGTGTCTAATTCTCTTTTTCCTTTGGGGTCCCTGAACTTAATTTTTCACACAAGCAGCAGCTGCTACCAGTGGCACGGCAGCTTCCTTATGAATCCTTTTTTTAAACTCTGACCAAAGGTCTCTTTAAATAAAGCCATGCATGAATGGAAATGGCAAAATGAATGTGAATGCCAAAGGTTACGAGGAAATGGATGAGATTTACAGACGCTAACTAAAAACAGAACAATACTGCAATTATATGCGCAAATGGAATGATTCTTTCGATGTTTATGACAAGCATATGAAATGCGATTTGTAACTAAACAACCGTACACTTCTGAATTGTCAGAAATACACAGTTGTTACAATGTGTTTGTGGGTGTAATGCAATTAAACTATGCAATAAGAAACTAAATATACACACGGCATTCCTCGATTGCTTGAAATATTATGGTTGATTCTTGTGCATCCTAATAGGTTGTGTAGATGATGTGTGACCACCGCTGCTGTGACATATGTACAGAACACCTGTCGCATGTTTCTGGGCTCCATTGTTCCTCATGCGCTGCTGTTGCTGCTGCTGCGTCTCACACAACCTGTTCCTGGAACATCAACCCTCAATACGATTCAGATCCAGCCCCGGTATGACTACACACACACGGCTCATTATGATGGGAATGAAAAAAAAGTCTATGGAGATGAGACATGTTCATGCAGCTGTATGTCTCTGTTTCAAGTGAAATCTGTCAGGTAAATAAGCTCAATATAAAAAAAAATCAATTAATTTAATTCCACATATGGTGGTCCCACAACGTTCTTGGACATAAAAGCATAAAAAATGTATGAATTTCATTGCATTACAGAACAAACATTCATTCTCAAAAAAAACAAAACAATCTAGCAGTATTTGTTTGCAGTTGATTAAGTTTTTGCTTTTGCAATGTCCAAACGTATCTACTTAATACTGTTGTGTTATAATTTAACACTTTTTGCAATATATCTAATTACATAAAATTCTAAATTATATATTTATTTTATTTATAATTTGAAATACACATACAATTGATAAACGCTTTGAAAACTGCTCTAGCATAAATACAGCATAGCCGATATGCACACATTTTTATATATGATTATTACATTTAGCATTTAACATTTTTGGTTTTGCTCTAATGTTTTGCATGAAAAGCATGCTTGTGCTCACTTTAAAATAAATGTATTCTTGATTTGTCATTTGACTCTCTTATATTTAAAAAAATCTTGCATTTTTAATTGTGGCCTAAGTGTCCAAATCATGTTTGCAACATAATTTACATAATTGAATGCAATTTTTAATTTATACAACAAAATCAAGAATTATTCTCTTTTTTTTTTTGTAAGACAATAAGGTGATCTGTTGTTTCAACAGCAGCCTGCACTAGTTTGGAGGTTGTTTCCGTCTGGTTTTTGTGTAATATAATTTCCATAGTTGTCTCTTTTTTTTTTTTTCAAGATTATATGCAGGATGCCAGCTGGCAGACAGATGGTGGTGGCTTTACACGTTTTTATTTAAAGACATATCAGAAGGAAGAGGAGGGTGAGGCAAGAGAACAGCTGTAGCGAGTGGGACAGGACGGTATATGCTGGTCAAAGCGACGAGCAGCCTGCACAATGAGAGAAAAGAATGAAAAACAAACACCCTTTTAGAGAGCTAGAAACTTTCTCGAAATGCACCAGAGAGCATTTGTACCCTAAGTATGGCTCCATGACTATGTCAGAGTCAGAATTTTATGATCTATTGTTTGTACACACGTATTGAATTTGTTATACAAAATGCTCGGTCTATGGAGAAAAGTAATAAGGATGTTAAAATGCCGTCTTCCTCAGTCAGAGCAGCGCTGCTGGCATTCTCTGTGTCATACCACAGACCCGGGGCCTTGTGCCCTTTAACGGCGTTAGTCTCAACGGGAGGGGGGCTTATTAACCACAGTCTCGTTAAACCTTTTCACTACAGCACAGCAGCGCTACCTACGACAAACCGCGCAAGCCATGCGATCGAGAAACACTGTGTGGAACATTTGCATTATAATAATTAGAATTTCTTTATTTCGACTCTTTACAAATCCTGCTATTTTACACACATAAAATGTATTCAAGTGCACAGTATCTCCCAGGCAAACAGCTGCTCAGTGAGTCCTGCGCCTTTGCACTTGAGACCAGAGAACAAACGGCCTGTGAGAGGGGCATGCCATATGCAAAATACATAAGTTCAATTAAATAAAACGAAGACCAAAACAATAGCAAACAAAGAGTTGTGGATGGTATTAAATTATGCAGATATCATCGTTATTGTGATCGCACATGATATACAGCTTTGAAAATGATGACTTTGTTGCGTAAAAGGTAGAAACACACTCCAGTGTTCAGTGCAACAATAATGTGACTCGTATAGATTTAATTACCACTAATTCCTCTACCACTATGGGGAAACCATGGTAATAACAATAAAACCTCACACACACGCTTACATACTTTCGCACGCACACACACACACACAAGCAAACTATACTGGTGTTAGTTCAGTTTTTAACTTTTTCTTTATTTCTCCTTTTTATTTTCTTTTTAAAGGAAGCTTTTAATCAAAGAGCATTTTTGTTCATATATAGTTTTTACAGAAGAAAATACTATACAACCTTTTTTTCCCTCCTGAAACAATATTGTCGAAGATAACCATCTACACATTTAGTTGCCTATATTATGATCAAAGCCGTGTTTAGGAAATAATTCATAAGTTTCCTTGTTTATATTCAATGGAGGCCAAGCAAACAAAAATCATTCTTCTCTCTTTTTTTTTAATTTGGAGCGAAGCACTGCAATAATTTCCTCTGTATAGAATTCATTTAAATTACAGTCATCATTAGTGTTACTCATTAGACAAGCCAGGTTCTAGCATGCCTGTTTCATATTGAAATCATCCAATCTTGGAAGCGAAGAAAAAAACTTTTTTTCCCCCCTTTTTTTTCTTAAATAAAACACAGAACAACAGTTCTTCGTCACACTGAAGACTATTTGTGCATCAAAGCAAAGTGAACTAAACAACATTGTAAAGCAAATTCCCTGTTAAAAGATATATGCCATAATTTCAAAAGGTAAAAATGAACCTAAAAAGTGCAAAAACACCCTAGAATTTTCTCATTGCAAGGTCACATAAATATTAAATAACTTCTTATTATTGGAGCGAAACCACAGCTGTTGTAAAGAGAAAACAAAAGCTTGAAACATTGTTTTCTGTCTGTACAATTAATAAAATCACACACTTTCCATCACCAGCATTAGCATTCATCGTGGTGCCTTTGTGATGTCTGTCCTCCATTCAGCCCTCTAGAAAAAAGTCTCTCTCCACGTTTCCTCTTCTTTTAGAAATAGATATATGATGCTTCTGAAAAAAGCAGCTTGAAAAAGCCAGTCTCTGTCCTCAGACTTTGTTGCAACTATTGTTTTTTTTTTTTTTTTCATGCTACAGAAACTGCGAAGGGAAAAGGAAAGAAAAATAACACCTACAAACATCTTTTCCCAACATTCAGAGACGCTTGTCTCCTGCTCTGTTTGATGGACACTTTAGGACATCTATTTGTGGATCAAAACAAAGACATAGCTGTAATCTCCTCCCATTCATACTGGGCAGTAGCACCATCATCACATTACAAACTTTCCTAAACACAGGGGCGACGACTCTCGCCACTGAAACAGACCCATTTACAGTGAGACACCCCCATATCGTCTGGTCATGCCTGTGCAATTAGAGAATAATGCAAAAACAAACAAACAAAAAGCCATAGTAATGCAATCATTGTAAAAGATAACAAAACGTCTTAAATAGAGGCTTGAGTATCTGCTCTCATCTATACAAAGGTGCACTATGAATATGCGATGCCAAATGGGTCCTCATTGAAAAAAGGAGAAGGAACAGAAATCAAGTGAGAGCTAGCGTTCACTGAGATCAATGCTTTATGGCCTGAAGCTTTGCAGTCACTGTTTGTTTGTCCTGAAGATGCAGGCGAATGTCCACATGGAATGGAGCCTATGACACCACTGACCATGACAGCAGGTTTAAGTGAGGGTTTACATAGCCACCCATGTGTAAAAGAGGGCCTCGTCTGTCTATTTCTCTGTTCATTTTTTAATGCATAATTAAATTAATAATGTTGGTCATCTTGTAAACATCATAATAAATCATTTTGGGCCTTCACGTTTCTTGTAGTTGGTTATTTTCTTGTCATCTGCTGTGTCTCTAAGCATGATAAATGAGGCCACTCAAACTTGTGTTTGTTCAGGGAATTCATAGTTCTCCTACAGCATAGATTAGGGCTCAGCCTCCGGCTCCTCTTTATCCAGTTGGGAAGTCTCAGCGTGGTTCATGGAAGCATCAAAACTCTCTCCATTGTCTTTGTCTACTTCTGGCTCTGGCATGGAATCTTCATACGAGTCTGTATTCATGTCCTCCTCTTCATCGTCGTCGTCATCCTCCTCAGCTATCGGCTCTTCCTCAGCCGACAGGTCATCTTCGGGGTCGCAGGATGTGCCGGTAGTGTCGTCCTGAGGGTGGCTCAGGCCCATTGAAGCAGCAGGGCCAGAACTGGTGGCCAGGGACAGTGGCTCCCGGTGCATCTTTTTGCTCAGGTCCATGGAGTCACTGAGGCCCAACCCAGCAGCGTTTTTCAGAAAGAACAAGGAGCTGTTGGTGTCTGTCCCCAGGTTCAGAGAGCTGTTAAGGTTGACTGCTGAGCCCGGATGCTCGTACTCACTGACGGCCCCTGCCGAAGGGAGGTACATGGCCATGTTGTTGTGGGTCAGCCCCGGTGTGCCGGGTGAGGTTGGGGGCCTATTCATGGGCATTGGAGGCACGGCTAGGCCTGCATGGTGGTGGTGGTGGTGGTTGCCTTCCTGGTTGGGGGAGACAGAAGGCAGCTCTCCCCTCTCTTGCTTCTCATGCTTGCGCTTGTGGGAATCCATCTGTGACATGCCCACCACTGTGTGCTTGCACTCTGGGTAAGTGCAGTGGAAATGTGAACACTTGAGCTTGTACTTGCAGTCAGCCACCTCACAGTCCACACTGGAGCTGAACTGGCAGAATCCGGCGGCGCTGATCACATCCTGCTTGCCGTGGTGCTTGCGGTGCGCCGTCACCTTGGTGCTGTCCGTGCAGCGGAAGCCGCAGCGCAGGCAGTGGAAGTGGGTGCTGTTGCCGGAGAACTGGCAATCGGGGAAGTTGCAGCACAACGAAGACTTGAAGCGCTTGAAATCATCCAGGACCAGGTTGTCCACACGGTCGTGGTGCTGGGCGTGCTTGTACATGTGGGTGCGGCCGCAGAACTTGTAGCCGCAGTTCTCCCGCGTGCAGTGATAGTGGGTTACCTTCAGGGAGAATTGACAGGCCGTATCCTTGCAGTCCTCATAGAGGTCGTAGCGGCGGAACCCTTCCAGCATCATGCCTTCATCCAGCATCTTGCGAGACGAAGCGGTCTTGCGGCGCTTGCCGAAGGGTGACATGTCCTCGATGATCCAGAAGCGTTTCTTGGCCCCAGTTGCCGTCGGAATAGAGATGGTGTTACCTGTTTGCAAAAAAGGCATATACGGGTTAGACTTCACTCAGTACGACGAGCGGCAAAGCAATTCTGCAAGAAGGAGTAGCCACATGCGCCCTATCAAAGCTACCCACAAAGGTTCCTCCTACAGCAATGTACTATATAATGTGATTCCATGCCATAATCAAACAGAGACAGTCCCATTTGTATAATGTACTGGTGACATTTTAACGTGATTGTCACGTCTAGGTATTGGGAGAGTTCAAAGGTGCTTCCGTACATCTGGCTTTATGGGAGAGCAGGATTCCCTCCCATAAGCCTGAGGTCAGTGCAGATGATGTGCTCCCTGTCCTGGCCAGCAGGAATCACATGGCTCTATTAAAGCCTGGCATGATTAAACCAGCCCTTTACAGCAGGCTACTAATGGACAGCATTTCAGACAGTGGACCTAATGGCAGGTGTGCAATGTACTACACAAGACTAAAACCACCACCTCGGTGGCTTGTATGAACTGCACTGCATGTGTAAAATGCTAAAGAGTTGTAACCTGCTAATAAGCCCTAGTCCAAACTACTGTGACTCTAGAGCTGCAGTGTTCGGGTGAAGATGGGATAAGTACCTGCAGCGTCCTGCACTATAGGGACGTCATTTTTAACCGAAGACGAAGTAGGAATGATGGGGCTGAAAGCTGGTGTGTTGGTTGGCATGACAACACTCCTAGTGGCTCCGAGAGAGGCGCTGAGCAGAGAGTATGACAGACAGGATGGGGAGAGGAGATATGGGAGCGAGGGGAGTGGTGGCCGGAGAAGAGCCGAGGAGAGAGATGGAGGCTGACTCTGGAACGCAGGATGAGGAGGTGGAAGAGGAGGAGGTGCAGATTGAGAAGAAGGAGGAGAGTCAGCAGAGGTAGTGGTGGCAGGGACCTGACAGCCTGGTCCTACAGAGACACGGTGCCAAAGAAGGATGGTAACAGAGACAGGAAAGTACACAAGGGTGGGGAGGTAAAAAGGGAAAGAGATCAAGTAATGAAATAATGAAAGCCAAATGGTAACCAAAGTCAGACAACAGCCAAAAGCAACAGTGATGAGAATGGAAGATAACATTTGAAATCAAACAGTGAAACTAAAAATCAATTCAATGAAGGAAAGCTCAGATTCAAAGAGCAAAGGTCCAGATTTAAAGGTGCTGCAGCTGTAGCATTGTTAGGCAGTTCTCTAACGTACGCCTGTGAATTAGACCTGTCGCCCATCCCTTCAATCAAACGAGCTCTCTCAAAATCCCACATACAATGACTGACAGGCCTTCAAGTTAACTGATTGGCTAAAAAAGCACAGACTGCACCCAGATTATTTTTGGCTCTTTATAGAGTCTAGGGCTGTCACAGAGTTCACAGGACACCCATTATAGTAACACCTGCACATTTTATGTGTCATATTCCCAAAAAAAAAAAATCACTTTAAGCACCTTTAAGCCTAGAGGAAAATGGTCGATAACTGCTATCTCTGTGTGTGGCTAATTTCAATGACAGTAGAGACGAGAAAAGTTTGGGATGCCTCCCTTATGTAGGGAGGGGGATGGCATTCATCTGAGCGGTGCATGTGTGGAGGACTATATAACAAATTTAGTGCTTTATAATTTCATAAATATCATTACAGTGGAGAACATTTGGTAGCTTTACGAGTCAGGTACAAGGAATGCAATGAGAGTGGGTGCAGGTTTTTACATTTCTCTTCTTAGGGAGGTTCAAAAGGCTAACATAAGGAATACAAGGAAATTTGGTCTGACTGACCAAATCTTTAAATATTTGCTTCGTTGGCCACACTGAGCCTGTATTTTTATTCAGTCTATCTCGTATATTGACAACCATAGTCATTACTGAGGTCGACTCACCTGCTGGCGAACTATCGTTGCCCACGGGGGTGCTGGTGCAACTGCGGTCTTGGTTGGAGGACTCTGAGGAGAGACCCAGTGGGCTTCCTCCACCGGTGTAGTCCATATAGTCATCATTTTCCTCCATCATGCTGGAGAAGTTGGGGGTCAAACTAGGGTGGCTGCCTACCACACCGGACGAAGCTAGACTGGCCATGTGCTGCATCTCTTCAGGTCGGTTGCCATGAGAGACCATCTAAAGTACAGCATACCAAACAATCCAATAAATGCCCGCTGAATAAAATCATTTGCATTCAAGTGGCAGGCATGAAAATATATATAATTTATGATCACTTATGGCAGTCATCTTCAAAAGACGTCATCAATTTCTTCGTACCTGGGAAGGAACTCTGTCGAAGTTTTTACCCAGCATCCTCCTCATGTGTTTGCGGGCATGGGAGGTCATCTGGTGCTTGAGCAGGAAGGAGAACTGACAGCCCTCACGGATACAATGGAAGTGGCTGTTAACTTGGTTGTATTTGCACCCTGCAAGAGACGAGCGACAAAATTAACTTGAGCAAAGACCGTCTTCATCGCGCCTGGGTTTCAGGGACAACATACATCATGGATCCTCAACGAGGTAATGAGGACATTGTGCTTCCGTCCCGCGCCTGCATAATGGGGAGAGACAGAGCAGATGAGTCCAGTGTCACACTGGGAAAGTCGAACCTTTTGAAGATTAGACCTGTGGTGCTCTTTTATTACAATGACATCTCTTATTCAATTTGGAATTTACATAAATACATTCTGCATTTGGAGAAGCAATAATGCACAACCCTGCAAACCAAAGTAAACACACAATTATTTCCATATTAAATTCATTTTTCACGACCTATCTGTTGCTGGTGTATTTCCTCCCCCTCACGTCTGTCCCTTTGCTTTTTTTTATTATTAATTTTTTTCTACACAAAGGGCCCTACAGATTTTAATTGCTATATGTTTTCAAATTTAAAGACTGCCTCTGCGTACTAATCAAATATTGTAGGGTGCTCGTAATAATTTTATTGTGAATAATGCGTGCTGAAATAATTGAAAGAGTAGCATTCAAGGCAGGTGCGGGCTTGTCCGTTACCATGGCACCCGTGGCACCGCACAACAAGCCGCCTTGTTGTCAGATTGCTTTTGTACACAAGGGTGATATACTTAAAAAAAAGGCAGAGTTGAGTAAATATGAGCACATGCTGAAATATCAGGGCTCTTGTGCCACCAGATCCTGGTAACCTCATCACCGGTGTTCTGTTTAATGTTGCTGCCATGGATACCACTTTCCCAGTCCAGCTGAACCATCAATTCTTTATGACTCTACGGCTTGCTTTTGTCATATATGTCCCTGGTTTATGCCACTAACAATGCTACAGGAGAGACCTTATACTCTGTGGACACTTGTGATACTTTCCACTCCTCAATAAATGTTCTTTTTGTCTTAACTTAAAGGGACAGTTCACCCAAAAATTAACATTCGGTCATCATTTATCTTTCATACAGTTGAAGCTTTTATACAGCTTCTGTTGGACCTACAGACCATAGAAACATATACTGACCTCTTTTTATTATGATTTTTGTTCTTTTATGGCTCAACAGCACCATCCCCATTCACAATCTCCATTTCTTCATGTTCCATAGCAGATGGGTTTGGCTCAAAAGGAGGGTGCACAATTTTTGGGTGAACTCTCCCTTTAAGAGGAGGGGAGTAGAAAGAAAATAAAATGCAAACTTTTAATCTGCCTGCTTGTGATGATGATCGAGGCTTGAAAAAGAGCAACACAAACAGACTGAGCTCGACAGGCACAGTAATTAACAAACATATGTAATTGCTCATTCCTGACAGGTTAAATATACCCAAGAAAACAACCTCTGTTTGATTGCCTACTATAAATACTGAAGTATTAATGTATGACAAAAAGGCAGACACCATTTTTCTCGGCCTGTTTTCGGTAATATAAATAAAACGTCCCCAGTTTTACAATGAGACAAGACCATCTTTAATTCCGCCAAACGTGTTTGTTCTGCAAAATGTAAACGGCTGCCGGCGTGCTGACTCTGTTGTCAATGTAAACGGTTCAATTTACAAAATATCAATGCACAGATACTATTGAGACAACAGCTTCTGAGAAACATACTCAAAATTCAGTGAATAAGTGCGAAGCGCAGCCGTTTCACGCTCTGTATGTTTTGCTGTGAACAGCATGGCAATTAGTGACTCAACTAGAGGAACGGCACTTTTCCTGTAGCCAGAGACAGTGGAAAAAGTGTTTTCATAGCATCGATATGAAATTACAGTTACATCATCTCTGATTTCACACCATCTCTGATTCTTCCAGCTGCATTACAAACGTCGAGCTTGCAGTCACTGCTTGAGAATAACGTGGGAGCTCGGATGAACAGAGAGTGTTTGGAAACACGAGTAACTAATGTGAACAGTGACTGAAACAACGAAGAGTGTGGGAGGCTGGGACATGTAAAGATTGTACGATTTCATGATGCTGAATTCACTCAATTACTCAGCAAACCACACCGAATCAAGCAAATTAGATTTCCAAAGGGTTGAGGAAGGATTAAAGGAACATGACAGAATTGTCATTTTTATGCGAACCGTCGCTCTGTGATCTAGACGTTTCTTTTAATACATGAAAAGCTGGTTCTTACCTAGTCTGCCACATTCTTCTCTCTTGGTGAAGTATTTGAAGCCGTTAATGGCACGTCTTTCAGCTTTCTCGTGCTTCTTGACGTGCCAGGGAAGTTTGGTGGTGATGTTGGTGACGAAGAAACAGCCGGGTCTCAGACAATGATAATGGCCCCTCATGCGAAACTCACAGTGCTGGAGAGAACAGCAAATAAACAAAACTCATTTTGCACAAGTCTCCATGGTTCAGTTTTCTACAGTTAATTCACAAGCCAATTATTATTACATTAATTTACAATTATTACTAAACCAACCATCTTTTGAACAAAAATGGGGTCTGATCATTTGTCAGTTAGTTACTCATTACTCAGGGTACCAAAGGGAAGAAGTAGGTTACATGTGCTCATTAAATCCTATTCCTCTTTCTTTCCCAGAGCATGTGACAGGACCAGCCTCACTGACCAGCGGAAATCTGAAGTTTAGGTTCACGTTGTAGCCGCTGACCCCAATAACAACACACCAATTAGTTCATTTGGCGATTCATCTATTTCTAAAACAGCTCTTTTATCAATTCATTAGTCTGCGTGTGCGTGCATGTGTGTGTCCTCCGCAATGTAACCTGTTTCTGCACCACCATCTGTTTCCAGAGAGGCAGTTCCCCCAGGAGCACATAAACAGAACCCACTCTACTCTGGAGAGGAGGGGGGAGCTCCGAGAAGTGGGGATGGGACACATAAATGAATTCATTTAAACAGGTTTTGCTCCAAATGCAAGTTGCAGGAAGGGGAGGGCTTTTTTCTATTAATGATGGAATTTTTGATGAAAAGCAAAACTTGTTTATTTTATACAGCTTTGGGGTCTCCAAGGTGGTTTTCGTTTTTTTTAGTTGGTTTGTTTGTTGTGGTGAAATAAATATGTACCTAGGCTTTTGTCTTCAGTGTTTTAAATGTCATTTATATGTTTTCTGAAAAGGGTGTTTGTCTGTGCAAAGGTTATTGCCATGGAGCTAGGGTGTTGGTGGTGGTTGCCAGGGTGTTGCTATGCATTTTTTATTTATTATTATTTATTTTATTTTATTTTATTTTGTACCGTGGTTTCAGCATATTGCTATGAGTTTAGAGGGTGTACTGGGTGGTAGCTATGTGATTGTACCATCCTTCAAAATAAATGCTAGGCATTTCTAGTTTTACAATTTGAAATAATTTAGACAACTTTATCATTTTATTTTTAATCTTTTTTAAATAAGAAAATTGTAAATTATGGGAAAAAATGGGTAGGCTGAGGCCAGTAAAGATTTTTTTTTTCTGAAACATTGGAAAATTAATACTTTTATTCAGCAAGAATGCATTCAAATGATAATTTTGATCAAATGAGACATTTTTAATGTGCACAAAATATTTCTATTTTAAATAAATGCTGTTCTTTATGTTTATCAAAGAGTCCTGAAATTGTAAAATATTAAGCAGCACAAATGTTTTCAACATTGATGACAATAATAAATCTTTCTTGAACACCAAATTAGCATATTAGAATGATTTCTGAAAGATCATGCGACTGAAAAATTGAGTAATGATGCTGAAAATTCAGCTTTTTCAGGATTAAATTACATTTCTAACATTTCTTAAAATAGAAAACGGTTATTTTAAATTGTAAACATATTTCACAATATTACTGTTTTTACTGTATTTTTGATCAAATAAATGCACCCTTGGTAGATATCTTTCAAAATGCTTAAAAACTCTTACCAACCTCAAACCTTTGAACGGAAGTGTACAGTGTGTGCCACTAATAAAGACACAATAATGAATGTTTGATACAATATTACCTCTAAAAATCAAGCTCACCTGGTTAGGACAAAGACACTGCATAGAATAGTAGGAGAACTGGTCTCGCACATTCAGCAGGTTGTTGTTGGGGTTAATGTGGTCCAGGCAATGTGATTCAGCCTTCCCGGATGTCTTACACACATATTTGCAATTTCCAAACAGACAGTGGAAGTGGAACTTATTCGAGTATTTGCAGTCTGTGGCCAGACAAGGATCACTGTGGGAGATAAGCGTGACGAAACGTCTGTCAGATATTTAAAACTGCACAGAAGACATGGAAATACAGGCAGCACAGACCATTCAAATCACACCACCACGGTATCATGAATTTACAAGAATGACAATGTCTACTCACTTCTCCTGAAACTGCAGGAAGCCAGGCTTGACCTGAGGCCTGGCGTTTTCCAGCGAGGTGGTGGCCAGAGGGGAAGTGGCTGGCATACTGGGCATGGAGGCGGGAAGTTGGGGGATCGATCCGGCCAGCTGCTTCCAGGCTTGGAGAGAAGGGGAAGAGCTGTAGCCCCCTGACACAGCCAGGCTGGGCACCTCCATAGGAGGCGTCTTGGCCATGGAAATGGGGGCAGCCATTTGATTAGGGGCGCTATCATTGGATTCCTTGCTCTCGTTGAAAGGGGGCTCCGATTTAACCTTCAGGTTGGCTCTGAAGTGGAAGCTAATGACAGAGAGGTGATTCACCCATTAGAGCTGCCAAACATAGTAGCAAATTAACATTACTAGATCATAATCATGTAAATTTTGTGTACGTGTGCGTATGTGCGCTTGTGTGTTGGTGTGAACCTTAACATTTAAAAACTTTGATTTATATTCATTATGTGTGATTGCAATGCTCCAGAACTAGAGCGCTCCTCACTTGGCGTGTTTGATGGCTCCGTCCACCGTGCTGAAAAGCGCCCCACAATCTTCCACTAGGCAATGAAAATGTATCTTGTGCAAGAAATCACACTGGGCTTCACAGAAATCGTCAGTGTCATACCTGTACAAAGATTGTAAGAAAGAGGATGTAAAGGGTCGAACTGCTCGTAAATCCAGGTCAGTTACTCTCGTATTCTCAGTTTAGCTCATCAAGATCTGACTTTGAATAAGATGGTTTTTTTTTGTTTTGTTTTTTACGTGAACTATGCATGAGCCAAAAGCAGCAGGTCTCTAGCTGAGACATTTTGCTAGGGCTTTGTAACTAAATGCTGTACATAACATCACATGCTCTGGATAAATCTTCTCTTTCCACATAACAACCTGGGAACAAACACTGTGGATGGCACTGACAAGCAAAAGGGTACATCATAAAGATGGATGGTGACAAAAACCAGACACCATCTTCAACAAAACACAGAGGATGCGCAGCCAAGACATGGCTGAGTTTTCTGTAATGGCAGATCTATTTGGGCATACTGGTGATAGATGACATAAATAACATGTCCATGATTTAAGCTTACAGTTTATAGGTATGTATAAGGGAAAGTGCAACTGTTCACCATTTATTTTCATGTTTTCGCTTGAAAATTAAATTTAGAAACTTAGGGTGTAATGGAGTTAGCATACAGGTAAAATCGTAAGGATATAAAAAAATAAATAATAATAATTTTTTTAAAAAGTTCGATTGAATAAATAAAAGTAAATACAAATGAAAAATATAATGAAAAATAAAAAGCATTACAAAAAGAAAGACTCACATAACTAATGTGAAAGAAAATGAAACAAGTCTCAGTTCCATGCTTTAAAAAAAGTGTAGACGAGACTTTGAAAAGTAAAACTAAAGCTGGAAACGACTATAGGGACACAAGATGATTTCAGGCACCTGCACAGGTAGGTCCTCCACTGCTCATTGTGTTTCTCTGGGTTTGACCTCTTCATTACCCTACTGAGATACTGAGCTGCGTCTGAGCCGTCTGCCGCCTGAGCTCCCTCCAGCTCTGACTTCAGATCCAAAGCACTGAAGAAACCAGGATTCATCTACACACACAAACACATGCTTAGGCAAGTTTCAGCACACAGTCTGCAAAAAGACTAGTTCTTCTCGAGGACAGATCAAACACACAAGTGTTTTCGTGCGCTTTATGTGTGAGGCTTCAAATGTGTTTCCGTTCAGTACTGTATATGAAGCAGAGAGAGAGACAGGAAGAGAGAGAGAGAGAGAGCTGAGCTAAGCCGTCAGCAGAACTAGAGCGAGTTTTCTATTTAAATCATCAAGGTAATGGTACATGCACACCATTTATATTAGTCATAGAAGATATATGATTAAAACAATGTCCATTTTAATCCCCACAAAAACACACAACATTTAAATATCTGTTCGGCACCATTTCGTCTTTTTAAAAAATGAGGGTGACAGTTGCTCTTTTTTCTACGCGCTGACTTTTTAATCAAATAATTTATAAAGTCCATAAATAAAGATAGAGCAGATGGAGGAGAAAAAGAAGAAAGCCTGAGAAAAAAAAAGCACGGAGAGTTCAAAACAGCTCATCAAAAAACAAACATCTCTATATATCTGCCGTGGCAACCGGCTCCTGCTTCATTATATTAATTTGCGAGCGGCGGGCTGAAATTACACTGTATGAAAAATGGCTGGAAAATTTAAATGATACAAACTCATCCTATTAGCGGTGAAACATTAAAAAACAAACAGCCCCCTCTGCATCCTGCTAATTTGTCTTGGGATGAAAAGCGTTTGATGGATGAATCTTACCTTATTCATAAGTGAGGATAAAAGATATGTATTTCCTGGCGCATGGTGTCCGTTTGATTCAGCGCTAGAACATGCAAAACGAACAGTGTTTAGGCAGGATTTGCATGAGAACAGTAAATATTATAATTTATCCGAGATTGTGAATATACAATGAAGAAAAAAAGCGAAGGAGCCTGGAAATTAGGGTTTATGCAAACACACTTTCATCTAAATGAATGTGCAAACATGTCATGCCTCATACTTGATGTGCATTATGAAAAGAGGGCATTATGGGAGAATTTTTGCATTCGTATGATGGATTTCCTCAAAGGAGGCCTCGGCACTGGGAGAAGGAGGGAGCGTGTAAATCTCGTCCTCCTTGATCACTCCACAGACCCACTTTGTGAAGGGGGTTTTAACAAGAGCACTCACACTAATTAACACAATACGGCATTATTCGAGAGATAAATCACGGCGGGGCGGGCCTGGGCGCGAGCCGAGAGGGGGAGGATGATGGGATACCTGTGGTCTTTCTTGCTCAGGTCCAGGCTGTGCTCCTGAATGGACTCCTGGGAGGCCGCGGAAGCGCCGTCCACTGGCTCCTGCTTCACCACGACCGCATTAAACCGGCCTGCTTGAGCCAGCTGGCCCATCCCTGAGGAGAGAGAAGGAGAAAAACAAAGTTATTGTTGGTCAGCATTATTCCTCCGTGATGAGATCCAATCTGACTTCTGTCCCGGCCAAGGAGAAGACCAGGAGTGATAATTATTGCGGAATTATGTCAGGCCGTCAAGGCGTTTAAATGTTGATTGAGAGGCAGCAGGAATGAGGGAAAAAGACTCCGTTTTCAGCAGCGCTTGTCACAACTCATTTGCGGCCCTGCCTCTTAACTGGTCATTAAGAAGCATGCTAATGCTGAGGGAAAGTGGCAGATCCAGACTGCCCGCCCCTCCCTGCCGTCGCCGTGTGTCCTTGTTGGCCCGCCGACGGAAGCCACTGAGCATGCCCGAAAGGAACATCTGCTTGTCCATCAGATTAGAGGTGACAGCCAATCAGATCGGTTCAAATAGCGTGACCTCTCGATCGGATTTTCAAAATAGGTATGCAGACGACGTGGAGAGGAGGAAGGAGGCGGGAGGGACGCTGACGGGAATGCGACCTGGCTTTTCCTCCAATCCCCAAATGATTGAAATATTAATTTGTCCTAAGGCTATACAGAGAAAGCCAGGCTTTTGGTAGCCACTAAGTGGTATTTTATTAAAAAACGGCTAGGAGTTCAAGGCACAAAGATGGAGCGCTGAGTGCATCAGCAGTGATTGCGAGGTCGGGGTGGATGTTGTTTAAGAAACCTGGCCTGCTGAGGAAAAGTGACAGCTAGCATCCACCCTGCCCTTGGCCTTTAGTTCAGAGGGCATGGCATTTAACCATGTGAAAAGAGATGAGGAGCCACTCCTTTGGGTCACAACACGAGTTTATCAGACAGTGTCACTCTAACCTTCCTGACGCGTGTGATTTGACTCTATGTGCTGGTTATGGAGGTGAACTAATGACTCATTGTGATGTGTCGGCTTTAGGTGCATCACATCCTAATAAAGTTGGTAGCTCATTCCAGCCCTATTTTCAGTCTTCTGCTGCATGTGTCGCTCAGTTGACTAATTACCGCCTGTCTTTTCGCCTAAAACTAGTCTAGTTCGTCCACCTCCAATCCACCACAAATCTGTGGTCTTTATGTGTGAGAAGTACGATGCACTGATATTAACCTCCCCGCCTGTCCGTAAATGACTCTGCCCTACATCGGCCTTCTACAAAGCTCTCACTTTCTACTCTCTCGTTTTTTTTCTTCTTCTGGGTATAAACTGCCTGACGTTAACAAGGGACGTTTAAATAACGACCATGTGAGGAGAGAGTCATTAAACCTTCAGCTTTGCAGTTTCTATGACAAAAATCGGTGATGATCTAAGAGAGCGTGGAGGGAAAAAACGCACATGCTCACGACGCTGTGTTTTTCTGGAAATTATCCAAGAATAATGTTGTACTGTGTAATTACCTCAACGAAGTTACTGAACTCATGAAAGATCATTTGTACTGGGTGTCTAATTAGTGAACCCCTCAGATTTCAAGATCCTCCGAAACACTCTGGGGGTGAGTGTGGATTTTAAAAAAGTGAGTATTCAACTAGGAAATAACGCCACCTGAACAAATTAGCAAGCTACTCTTTTTACACAGTCAGACTGAGATGTGTTTTCTTTGCAAACTGGCCCTTGACTAAAAAAAAGAGTTTGAAAAAACAACAAAGCTGTTTGAAAATAGCCGCAGTAAACATCGTTCTCTCTTTTCTAACGCTGAGCTTTGACCACATCCTCTTCAAATTTTACCCAAATGTCCTGTTCACACGTCTTTTCTGAGCTAACGTGTTAAATTAGCAATGCCACATTATGATCTGCACTCTCAATTCTGCCTAGTAGGGGATTTTCTTTCTCTACTTTTCTCGAAGTTACCAAAACTAAATGCAAGGTGCTCACACATGAGATAACATGCTTGTTTTATTTGCCTTCTTGTAGGGTTGTAGGACTTTTATGAGAAGATCTGTTCCTGCAAAGGCTGTGACGGCCTTATAGCAGCCAAAAAACTTTTAAGGATCTTCCAAAAGGGAGGGAGAATTAACATACCATGTTTTTTATATATATATATATATATATATATATATTTGTAGTACCTGCAGTACCATGTACAGTAAGCATTATTCATGGTAATCATTCAGTACCATGTTATATATTGAAGTACAGTACCATAAAGCCCCCACAGTACATTTTTGGTAAGGAAACTCTTTTACTCACTTGCCTAAAACGGCTAAAGAGTAATGGCGCTTCTCCACTGCATGGTACGGCACGGTACGGCTCGGTACGGTTCACTTTTGGGGGGTTTTCCACTGGGTACAGTACCTGGTCGCAAAAAAAGGGTGAAGAAATGACACACACCACATCAGTGTTTTCATACTGAAACAAGTAGTGCTTTTATATACACACACCAGCACATACACAAATCCCCCTCTCTGGAGCGCTGAGTCATTTCTGCTTCAACAGTTTCTGATATTTCTTCCTCTATATCAGAGTGCATATAAAAAGCTGCTTTGTACCTCCAATTTTTCAACTTAATATTATTCAAGCTCCATTTGGTTGGAACGAGTGCACGCTCAGATAAGAGGCTGGTGATGAGGAAGCATGTAGAACACGTAGCATGTAGGCCCTGGGATCCTCCTGAGAATGCTATTAGAGGCAGCTTTACAGAGCCCACTCACTAGTTCAGCACTTATCTGCTAATGGATTGTGGGTATCATGACAATGATCGCTGCAATAACAAGACTAGAGCAGCAAACCAGCCCTTTAATATTTTGCCCTAATCCTGAAATCAGAGATTTGAGCAGCGTCTGTGGATAGCATGAGCAGATGACCTGAAAGTGCCCTTTCACTGACGGGTAGGTACTGAGAAAGAGAAACACATGGGCAGAGTGACCCAGAGAACTGATGTTCTCATGATTAAACGCAGTGAAGAAAACTGATCCTTTGACAAAGTATCTTTTTTAAAAAGTATATTTTTTCACTCCTGTTATAGATATTAACATTGGGAATATTTAGACCAGTGGCACTTAACCGGTTTTGCTTAAAGATTTTGCTGAAAAGTTTTACATTATCAGAAGTAAAAAAAAAAAAAAACTTAAATCAAATGTTGAAACTGATTAATATTAGAGATGCACAATATGTTTATTATATATATATATATATATATATATATATTAT